GTAAGATGTCAGTTTCCTCAAGCAAAACCGCCAACCTGATTTTTTGATAGGTTGCCCAACTGAGTGGACAATTCACATGATTCAGACCCCAAGACTAGGTTTGAACACGACCTCCTTTAAAAGAGTTATAGACAATGCTGCCCCCTATGGGACTAGTAGGTGTAACTATCCACAGGCTGGGCAGAATCAGCCCAAATGATAACTCAATCTGTATGGATCCTTAAGACCACAGTAAATTCAAAAAGTGATGAAGCTGAAATCTTCAGCAATGGTCATACTATCAAAGGATCGACAGTCTACGTCCAAGAGGACTTTTGCCCAGTGCATTCTATCGGAAAACAATTTTCTGAACCCAGACTAAATTAAACATTCAACAAATGCAGGAAAACATTATTAGGAGTTATCGTGTGGAGAAAGTTAAAAGTTGCACGATGTGAAATGCATCCAACTCAAAAGTGATTGGTAAAACCTAGAAGACTACTAGCGTATGTGAAGTGCTGGTGTAACGCTCACAACTGTTTTCAAATATATTACTAGTATAAAATGTCCAGGGGGTTATGAAGGAAAGTGGCGGTTCTAGCATACTTCTTCTCTAGAGCCTTCATAAATGAGTATTAACCAACTACAGAATCAGCCCCGGCAGCGTCCTGAGAGAACAGGGTAGGTGCTGCCTGAATAAATGATCAGGAAAGCCGTTACGACCTGTTTGGAAAACAATAACTTGTTATTCAGAACACAGTAGGGCATTTTGGAAAAAGCTGTCGTGTCTTACGAGGTTTTTTGCTACAGGGAAAGCTCGTGAAGTGCAGATATAACAAAAGGCCTTCAGTATTGATTTACAGATTTCCGCTGTCTACCATCAACCAAAAATGTGAATCTGAATCATGCGACTGCGGATGAACACTAGGAAGTGGTAAGAGAGATTATTCACACAGCAGTCTCGGATACTGTCACTTTAGTCACAACACGGCCGAAGAAAAGGTCCCCATGGCTGAGGAGAGGTACACAACGTATTCTACAAGCAAAGCGGAAGGCTTGGTTTACGTGACGAGTATCCAAGAGTAAGACAGACCACGATGCATATCTGGAACTGAGGAACCGGTGCAGTTTAAGAGTTAGGAATGACAGGAGGTCATTTCAAGCTAACCTTGGCGAACCCCTAAAGCCTGTACCGATTCATGTCGGAAAGAAAACCAACCAGCCAGTGGGCATGTGCCTAAGTGCCAGTACCTCACTAGTCTGCAGATGGCTGGAACATTCAGTTAGGCATTCACCAAAAAGTTGAACAGCAAAGTGGGTATTGCTGGTACGGAACAGAATGGTGGCACTATTACTACACCGGAGGAAAACCTGGTGGCTACTCCATAAATAAACCCAGCAATAGTACTGGGGAAGCTTCTGGAAGACTGGGTGGTGGCCAGTGGTATGACTTTCAACCTGAAAAGTACAAAGTAGCCTGCAGAATGCAAGTTACACTCTGTGCAACGAAAGCCTGTCCTGCACAACGTCAGAGCGTGACTTAAGCCTAGTTCCGATGGAAAAATTATGGGTCTCCGAAACAAACCATACGATGAACATCTAGAGAAATTAGGTCTCTGCCCACTTAGCTACCGTCAGCTAAGGGGGCACTTGATCACTGCCTACAAGATAAAAAATGAGCAGAATCACCAAATCAAAGGTGTTCTGCCACTATGTAGGTATGGGCTTCCTTGTGGAAGTCCCAGAAGGATTGCTCACCAGAGGGCAAAGACTCGGATGTGCTCCTACTTCATTTCACTGCGAGTTTGCTGTCCCTGGAATTCATTACCGGCAGATGTAGCTATGGCACCATCTGTGGACACCTTTGAGCGAAGGCTGGACAATCTTGCAGCGACACAAGGACTGCGTCCAAACGGCCCATCCCCTTAAAATCCCATATACCATAACTGGGTAAACATCTGAATAACCTACACTAATTATATGTTATTATTATCTCTTTTCTTTTGCCCGAGGACTAACTGTCGAAAGGATCAACTCCATTCACAGTAGTAGCAAAGTCTTTACACCCACATACTACGAAAAACATATAATTAATCCCAGCACTACTACTTTGGAGTCAACCACAGCTACGACAGTCGATTGGCGGGACGAACTGCGCAGAAGTATAGCGAAGGTCAGGAGTCTTTACCTTTAAATCAAGAAGCGAGCACAAAGAAATCAAATTCGATTACATTTGCTCGTAAAAACGGTATTGGATATTGGATGAGTTGAGGATAAGAATAAACATTATGTTGCCCCTTTCAATGGTTTGCGTTACAGCTCTTACGGTCGTCCATTGTAGGTGTTTTGCGTCATTGAACTACAGTCTTCAAATCAGCTGAAAATGGTAATTTTACGGTACTCACTTGAATTCATAATTTATTTATACCACTTGACATATTTATTTGGCACATACAAGATTATTGTATCAATACCATGGTGGTATATCACTGCTTATCAACAGTGACAAGCTATAGCTTATAAGTTCAGCAGTCATATTTTCTTACACTATATTGCTGTACAATATAAAAATCATATGACTGCCTCTCATATCTTTAATGAGTAGGTGAAATAAGATGATGACTCGGACCATAGGAAAATAGCCTTGAATCAACCAGTAAGGTGTCTTGGCAATACACATGGGTGTTCATAATCTTCGTTGCAAGTTTCATTCAGATGTTTTAAAACCAACAATACGACGACTAGTCATCCTCGGCACTACCATTGATATACTCGAGTGGAAAGGTTATTCGAAACTGTCATCGATAGACTATATTCATCATGAAGTCAATCATACTTCTGAATTAGTAGATCCTACAATTGGAACTCATGCAAATTCTAGTGAAGGAATTTGGCTCCATTTAAAAAATGTATTATAATAGTGAATGGTTTTTGATACGATATACATACAGCTACTTATATTTTTTGTATCGACATTGGTTTGATATGGATACAGACACTCCTATGAGAAACTGGTATCAGTTTTTACAGCATCTTAGAGATATATACCCTGTATATTTCAGTTTTATTACATATATGTCTTACAAATACACTTATTTCAGAATAGATGCCACTTTTTACTTGGAAGAATATAATTGGTAGATTCAAGGTCACTTGACTTTGGTGTCTTTTCTTTAATTTAATTACTTATAAATAAGTATGCTCTGTTAAATAATGTGTACCTAGCCAGAAGTAGAGCCCGAGTTCGTTTAGGTTTAAATTCACCCCAGTGGCGTCTTAAGTACTTAGAGAATTTTCGCGAATTTTCCACTAAAATATACTGACACTTAAATTAATGTAGGTGGGGGGTTGCCTCGTGCAAACCCAAAATTAAATCCATTACGGTTACTCAATAACTTTTCACTTTGTTCAGACAGTTATAATAATTCAAAATCCTGTAATCCGACAACTTAATACTAAAGCGAAGCTCAGTTTTGTAACTAAATGCATATTGGTGCACTAGACGGCTTACGCTCAGAAGTATTCCTAGTACTTCGAGAAGCTACCAATAATTGCTATGTGGTGACAGGATGTAAAGACTACACTACTGTCAGTATTTTAAATTCATATTTTCAACTAGGTCTCGGCCTTCTATTTTCAGTTGCTTTAGATGTACCCCGTTACTGGTAGTGTAAGTAAGTAAGTTTAAGTAAGTTTCACTACCCAGTTCAAGTTGTATTTCTCTGTTCTTTCTTTGGTATATACATTTAAGATTCAATTTTCATTATTCACCTATTCTCACATTGCAAATATGAGTCCGGATCTAGACACTCCTTCGTGAATTTTGTCTACGCACCTAATAGCCTCGCATAATCGCATGAATCAGAACGTTTTGTGAGATTGTTTCACTGAAGATTGGTGAAATTCGACTAATCAAAGGCTTTATACTCGTACCCTCTTAAGTGCGTCATATTATCAGTTGTTTACATCTAATAGCGACGTTTTAAGAATGTTCCTTCTTTCCATCCTTATCCAACATTGAAATGCATATGTTTGTGATGTCCAGCTTGCAGAGTTTGACTCCATGAAGTAAAACTTAGTTGATTTACAATGAACAGGTGACAAAGTTCTGCTGACTGGAAAATGTTTTTCATTTCGGGTTGATTGTGCAAGTCTTATTATGACACTTAAGGAAAGGATAAAAAAATGAAATCTGATAATACTGCATCAGATAGAGGAAGGATAATTAAAGATACCCAAAACTTTCAAAATGGCGAGAATTAAATATATCTGTGCAATGTTGAGACAGTTGTAGTTAGTTACTGGGAGTATGCAACCATTGAATCTTAGCGTCTAGAAACCCAGACTTTATGTTGCCCGAAGTGGTAGTTAATGACTTCATTGATTGACGTCATGTCTTGGCGTAATCACTCCTAGCTCTTCCTACACCTTACTGCTATCTTACTGGTGTAGGACGTTACTAGTTTGGTATACTCACCAAATGTACTCACCTCCTCAGTCGATGCATTTTCATAGCCTCATCGATTGACTTTTCTTCATAACACATCATCAAGTCTCAGAATTAATTATCGTATTATACCTAATGCCAACAAGTGAACAAAGATATCTTCGGTCAGAGATCTGACTTTTTAAATCTCAGGAGCTGCGTCGCAGTCATGAAGTGCTACGTGGCGAATTCTTTTGCAGTAGCACCTCCTTAGTGTTTAATTGGCTGTTTCAGATATACCTGTTTCATCACCCAGATTTTTACTTCACAGTCAGCTACCATTCTGCGAAATCAAATATTCACCGATGAAAGTCCAAATTTGTTTTGATAGTTAAGTTTCAAGTGTCTTTTTTCACGGAACTGACTTCCACCGTTTAATCGTATCCTCTCTGTCATATTTAATTTGCGTGTTGGTCTAAAATTTTCCATTTATGTTATAGATATCTATCAGTTATGAGAAGCAACGATACATTTCTTGTGAATTTAACAAGGATTACATCAATTCAAGTTAAACACTTTTCGCAATACACTTGAAATGCAATCAAACGAGAACAGCAAATCATCTCGCCGTACTCGTTTACTTTTCGGCAGTGATTCTTCAAGAAATTCTTCTCATAATGCAAATTTGAAGAAACATACTGATTCTGTTGAATCGAATAATTTACCACCGCCACCCCCTCCACCACCTCGATATCCCTTGAAAGGTGACGGGTTTTCTCCACACACTGGATATGGAATATCTAGTGCATCTGGTGAACAAACGCCAAAGTCTCCACCAAGGACTTCTTCGTTAAGACCTAGAGGGATTCCGCTAAAACGCGAGTATGGTTCACGTGAACGTATTGCACAACCTGCAACATGTAAGTCGGCCTTTTATCCACAGGATTTAATTTTCTCCTGCATAATTGAAAATTATCTGGTTTTCGGCTTTTATCAGTAATTCAGTTAGTAATGAGCCCCACCTACTGTGTATGCTAGTATTGGGATGCATGGACCTTACTCGTGAGATTCAACCCCACGACCTAGTGATTGAAGGTTCGGAAGCTAATTCACCGAATCAAAGATCAGTTATACTGAGTGAAAGGTCTCTCTGTAGTATTTTTTGTGTTTAATGAATGGAGAGCATTAGCCTCTATTTCACAATTTGTTTGATAGAAGTTAATATCAGTGAATGGTGCTAATTGAGATTCATAAGAATCAGAAAAACCAACTAAATATCCTCCAGTTACGATAAAAAGCGACTGTTAATGTATGTGTCTGTAGTCTGGCTGTTCAGCATTGTTGATTATATAAAATGAAATTTATGACTTGTAAACGAAGCTCTACTGCCATAGTTATAAAGTAATCAAATAGCGACCGAATTATAGGTTGTCTTTCAATAACGCTTTTGTTGCACCCTCATAAATTTATTTATTTATATAAGACAATGAAATTATAGTTGTGATTTCATTTTGGTTTCCCCTGAGAACTCAAAAAGTATTCATACCATAATATATGATTTGCTGTAAGACATTAACTATTAACTTTGCTCCCTTATAATTCGTTATTTGTATGCATTTTGTTTTTGATATTCTTGCTGTCAGATAAATATTATTGAACAATTATCACTTTATAGTGTCTGAATATAAGTGAGTTTTTCCTTAGTGTTAAGCTGTTGTTTTACTCTGTGTGTTATGGTGGTTTTCGTTTTTGTTCTGTAGTACACACTGTTGTTTGGGCAAAAACCTTTTTTTTTTTCTAAAAAAAACCCACGTGTATAAATGTGCGTATATTGTATCAAATATTTTAAAAAGATATTTGCAGTGCTTTGGCAAATCAACCTAATGCTGTATAAGGGGAACTCTTCACAGCGTGCTTATTGTTTTACTTCATCAAAATTTGATTTTTCAACTCAGTTTCAATTGGTATGGGTGTTGTGCCTTCTTTTTTAAGCGGTTTAAAACTTGTTTGTCTCCTCTGACGCGGTCATTCAGTGTCATAGGTATTCGTAGATTATTAGTTGTTTCACGGACTTGCGTGAACTCATACTTCAGCTGAAGTAGGCAGAGTAAGATTAAGCACGGTAACATCTTAGTAACTATAGTGGTCAGAATTTATTAGTGAAAATTATAGTTAAAAGATTTGTAGGAAGAATTCCGCATGTTTAAGTAGATTGACTGCCTCAATTTAGTTTATGAAGGCAGTTACCATTATTATAGTAATAGCTTTACTTTGAACAGTGTTTATGTAATGTATAGAGTTTTCAGCGGCATTTATTGCATGATATTTTCTCTTCGTCGTCCAGGATCTTCAAATAAAAGACTAACTGACAGTAGATCGTGTGACACAGTTCTATCTGATCTGAAGCGCAAACCATATTCATTATGATACCTCTTCTTTTTCTCATTCGCAGTACATTCTGCGAACCAAGGACACCACTCAGCAATGGTTATCTCATATATCATCGAGGATAATGCTTTTTCACCACATGTTTAGTAGAAACTTGCGAATAAGCACGTCGTAAATGCTTTAAATACTCACAAGAGTAAACAGTACTATTAGAGGTTGTATTTTACTACATTTTAAAGAAACTGAATACGAGACATTATATGCAACATTTTGATAGAGGTTTGTTTCGGTAGCCCAAGTTTTAATCAGCCCGCACCTATGTGCGGTAGTTCAAGTCGCCACACCATGTAGCACACAAAGCAAGAGAAGAAAGTAAAAGAAATGCATAATAATATATACAGTAAACAGAGGTGAGAGACAAAGGAATAGTAATAAGGAAGAACAATATAGTTTCATTAGAAATCATAAGTCATAAGGAGTGGATGCATCTGCGCCATTAAGAACGATTTTGAGCCATATCACCAGTTGTTTCCAACTATTGGTTTTTACCGTCCCGAGGACCCCAACCTGTCAACCAAGAAGTCTACACCTTCCTACATGGCTTAAACTAACTGTTGTAGATTTCATTGACTGATGAAGTCATGTTTTGGTTTGACCGCTGCTAGTTCTTTTCCAGCCTAACCCTATGTCAGCTAACATTGTCCATCGAGGAAGGCGATGACTAGGCATACGTAACATATGTCCTAACCATCTCAGTCGATGTAACTTCACAGCCTCGTCGATTGATTTCCCCTCCTTACCTAGCACTCGACCGTAGCCTAATCTCAATATTGCTCACCTTATTATGCCAATTCACACGGGAGATAGAGCACAGGCACCTATGGTCAAAGACAGCTAATCTTTTCATGTCTTCCACTCTCAATGACCAGGTCTCACAGCCATAAAGGAAGATTGAGCGGACTGCTGAGCAGTACACCCGCTCTTTGGTCGATAACCGGATATCACGTCTACGCCAGAGACGGCGTAAACTGGCATAAGCGAAGCTAGCCCTCTGTATCCGTGCTGAGATTTCGTCAGCGATCAACCCGTTGGGGCTGATGGTACTTCCCAAGTAAGTATAGCGGCCAACGTGCTCTACCACTTCACTCCCTATTTCTAAACTAGGATTCAGTGCAGTACAGTCCTGTAACATAATCTTGCATTTGGCGGGAGCGAATCGCATGCCAAACATTCGTAGATTGCAGCTCAAGGTTTTCAGAAGACTGCATTTTGTCAGCATCTTTGCCTAGATGGACCATATCGTCTGCATATTCTAAGTCAACAAGTCAAGTCAATCCCTGAGTCTCTGAAGTGATGTAAAGTTAAGTCCATTAGTACATCTATGATGAAATTGAATAGGAATGGGGATGAGTGTTTATTGTAAGTCCGCTCAACACTTCTTGAAAAACAGAATACTTTTCTACCTAATTAAGTTACCAGTAAACATGCATCCCCTTAGGCATTATAACTGTAGCACACAAAAACACACAGGTTAGTGCTCCTGTACACTTTTCCTTAATAACATGTAAGCTGTGACTTTATTTCTAGTTTAGTTTAATACAATCTCCAGTCACTTACACTAACTGATGGATAGATAGATGGAGTAGGAACAAATCTGCGATGTAATATTCACTTGAGCACGGTCAAAATCAATCAATCAATCCATAGACACTTCAGTTTCATTTAGTACACGCTTTTGTTTCTTAAAAGAAAACTATTTTTCTTTTTCTTTTTGAGTGGTAAAAATGATTTATATAAAAACAAAATGTTTACATTTTTGCATACTTAGTTTTTCATAACACTTGTTAGAATAACGTAAAACTAGCTCTCTAATCATCGGTGTTTTGCCTCTCGCCTTTTTTTTAATGCTTGCTGTCAGTGTTATCTCTGTTGTTATTGTCGCTTTCCTCATCGTCACTGTTTATCACCTTCCTTCGAGTAATTCCTCCTCCTCGCTTTGATTTGTTTATTCTCGTATCTGTTTTTCTGTTTATTGTTCTGTGTTGTGTGTCATATATGATGATGATGATGATGATGATGAGATTACTTCTTTGAGATCTCAATAAACATTCATGATTGGTAAAAATTTAAATTCTAAATTTACTCAATATTACCTGCCGGAAAATACTTAGTCTTTGTCGACTTATCGGTAAGTCATTTTGAATGTTTTTATTCTCAGTCCTTTAGTTAGATGAGTATAATTCTGTGTTTAGGCACCCTAGTCCATCCAGCATGTAAGATTCACTAGTGTAGTGTAAGTGTAAAGCGTGTAATTGTCAGTTGTTTTTTCTTCTCCAGAACACTTGTTGTTATCAACAGTAACAGTAGAGTTGCTGGCACCAGGTGTTTCTAGTCGACTCTTACCAATGCTTATTGTACAAACCAAGTTGATGTGTTCACAATGGTGTCGTTTTTGTGGACTTATTTTACAACTGTAATGAACAACTCCAACTGTTTATTAACACTTTTTCACCTACCCTGTTGACAAGTGTTATTGTAAGTATGTGTAGCTCGCATATCTTCAAGTAACCGGGCATATTTCGTTAGAATAAACAAGTTTGGTGATAAGTATTCACTACATGGCTGTGGAATCCCATCAAACGAACACCATTCTTATTTGCTTTGAAATTCAAATTTGATTTTCCCGTTGATTGATTGGACTGAAATGTTTTGCCGCAGTTGTCATGCCGGACGCATTGACTATGTCTAATGATTAACTTGAAATAATGTGGTGAATGGTGACTAGCGGTGGAACCCAGGACGCGTGTTTCGTCTCGTTTGCGGCTCGTCAAATGGATGAACCTAAGTCTCAGTGAGGGCACCCTCACTCATTGGGGAATGCAGGCATGTCTAGATGACGAGTCCCAAATAAGACGAAACACACTCTCATCTGAAAAATTAATTCGAACAGGATTCATGTTATTTGGTTTCCTTTGACGTCATCGGTTATTTTGGATAAACTTCCATTGATCTTTATTTTAATTAACACATTGGGGTAGGCAGTACGTTGTTACAGTGTTCAGTATTTCTTAGTGGAAGTTTTTCTGTAAATGCCTTTTCCTTTTCCTTGTCATCTTCTACAGACATGCTAAATAGAGGTTAGCGTGTCTGTAAGCGAATTAAGAATATAGAAGTAAAGTTTAGACACAGTATACTTATTAGCCATGTATTACTGTGGCGAAAGTTGTCTGTTTTGAAGTTAAGAATCAACAGTTGTTAGGAATTCCTAGTGACGCTGTAAAATCTTTCACAGTAGCATAAATGACACGTTCACACTTTGTCTACTAAACGCTAAATACTTTCAGTGTTTCTTACATTATTGTTTTTATTTCCTGTTATACTCACGCCTTACCGCTTTTCAATGCTATTCTAAAGCCTGTTCATTTTCATTGGTAGACTTTTGTACACAGCTCTAATTTCATTTATCTCTGCTTGTGATAAAAACAGAACTGGATATTTTGATGTCTCTAGATCTCAGAGTGTTTTGGGATTTTGTCAGTCCCATACTGGTTTTCATAACAAACTGACACCAACTAAAGAATCAGTGAAAATCAGGTCCCAGTGGCTTAATGGTCTACGAGCTAGCTCGCCTTGTAACCTGGGTTGCGTACTGATGAAAAGTCCCAAGCTATTCTGACGAAACAGCTGTCTAGTACTCTTAGGTTTTCCAATTGTCCTGCAACTGTTGTCTGTTCATTATGAAATCCTCTAATTAAAGAAAATCAAATCCACTGGTTGGCTCTTTCGTCTCCTGAGCAGTGCTTTTTTAAGACCGTTAGGTTGCAGTGTATGGTTGTTTGCTTTCTTTCACCGGATCCCAGACTAATTGTCTTGTTTTTCGAATACTGTCATTCTTCGCCTGTATATGTATGTTTATATGTCACATAGTCCTAATATCCAACTGTTAAGCTATAATTTCGGATCTTACTCTCCTTCCCAGAACTTGTGTTATGCACTTGTCTTGTAGCCTAGCACAAAATGAGCGTGATTATGAAATTGCGCTTCAGAACTTCCGAAACCAATAAATGGTACGATTCTTATTTCTACTTTCATTTTTCAGATGGTACTGGGGAGCGCAAAAGTCTCAGGAAGCCACAGATTGGCTCATCTACTACTAGTAATAACAGCAGCTCCGAAAGACAATTTCCAGTTGTAGACCGTCCCTCTCGACCGTTTACACTGACTACTACTAATACCACGAATACAAGTACAGCATCCACCAATACTACTCCTTCAGCTAGTAGTAGTAATGAAAAGTTGACGTCAATCGCGATCACAAAGCATAAAGTTGATAGTTTGTGTCAGACAGATCCTAGAAGTACACCGTTGTTGTCACGTCTACTGGCGCCTGGTTTTGCTACTTCAGTAGTCAGTTCAACTATTAATACTAATTCAAATCAAAGGAAAGGTAGTTTTCAAAGTTGTGGATCATCGGAAAGCGATCGAAGTCCAGTTCCAAGTTCTTCAACAGCTAGAGATTTGTTAACTGAAATGAATAGACGAGAAATGGGATTGGAGGGTCATAGTCTTTCTCAAGGTTTAACAAGTTCTGGTGAATATCAAAAGAAGGATGGTGAAAATGTCTCTTGGGTAATTGTCAGCTCTTTTCTTTCCATTGTCTTTTAAAAATGTTTGGTATTCCATTTGTTATCATAAAATGTTTAGCTCGATGATATTCAGTTATTATCATTATTGTTAGACAGTGATGGTCTGGTTAGGTTTGTTGTAAAGAGAAGAGAGGATATCCGAATTATGGTATCATGAGAAGAGAATTGCCATGTGAAAGCTACACTAGCTTTAAGTCAGTGTGCTGGTTCAGAGACTCGGCGTGTCAACAGAAGTATTTCGAACAGGCTTCAGTCTTTTATGAACAACCGTCTTCGTTTCATACTGAAGACCAGATGGCGGGTCAGAAAGGATCCATAACCCGACAAATGTGCCGTAGAAAAAAATGTAGGTGGATTGGACACACTCTGAGGAGCTCCTTATGTAACGTCAAGCGTCATTCCCTCGAGTGGAATGCAAGTGGGAAACAGTGAGTTTGGGCGTCTAAGGGTGACGTGAACAATCGTGGAGCCAGACAGCTAAAGAGGACTGTAGAGAACAGGAGAAAGCGGAGATTTGCTGTTGAAGCTCTTTGCTCCATTCGGAACCCAAGGGAATAATAATAATAAGTTTTTATGTATTCAGAGGACGAAATAAAATCACAGAATGTGTATTCATACCTTTGTCTTCAGTTTCTATCTAGGTTATAGAGCTAACTAGGTAGTTTTGTTACGCTAATAAATATTTTCTGCTTTAAAGTTAAAATCTTATGAGATAAGCATTATTCCTGTTGCTTTTTGAACATAAATCTGAATTGAAACATTCACTTGGCGTATAAAATGTATTGAGGTTACTGAAACTGTTTTTTTGTAAACTGATTACAGATAATGAATGATATAACCATATCTTCTCGAATAAGTATACATTGGTTTGAATTCATCATCACTTTTACAGTGTTTTGTAAATCTCCGTATAAACTTTGGTATTGTAGTCGAATATACTGACTTTTATTTTATTATTAACTGGGTGATGTTTCGAGCACCTCGAGGTGATTCTGGGTTCAATATAGGGGTAAATGTGACTTAAGCATTCTCCTCTTGACCAGTGCGTCCCAGGTTCGAGTTCCACTATACCTACTTCAGTCTAGGCAGCTGAGTAGTAGTAGTAGTAGTGTAATTAACCCTCATGCAGTAAGTGTGCTTCATATCCTGGTTTTCAAAAAGTTCGGTCCGGTAGAACCAATGTTTCTCGACCTCAGAGTCACTTACATGGTGTTATCACTGGACATAAACAATCCTACAAGAGCAGCAATGACCAGACATGTATTGCGACAGTTGCCCAGGTGTCCATTTCTCACACACACACACACCCACATACCGAAGCTATGTAAATCCGACATCTTTTCAGTATTATGCCCTATTACTTGTTAGATATTGTGGTTTAAATAGTGTCAATTCGCCGAAACATTTCGAAGATGATTGTAATAATGGGTAGAAATTTCAGAGTGATTAAACAGCTTCATTTTTTCTCTCCTTCTTTTGATTCTGTTTCTTTACAAATCCAATTTTCGTTTCCTTTTTCAACACAGAATTCACCATCGTCTTCAACACATGTGCAATCAACTAATCGTGATTGGCGTGAATTAACCGACTGGTCTGGTGGTAAACAAGCATCATCTGTTGTACAGTCGAAAAATCGTTCACCTAATTTTCAACCATCTCCTGATAGTCAGTGTTGGCGTACAGTCACATCTGTACACATAACAAATGAAAATATGCTACAACAGTCATCTTCGAATACGTGTTCATCAGGTACACAAGATGAAATGGAGTCGAGTATTGATTCACCGGGAGTTTTCAATCGGGTATGTGCGATTGATTCGTGTTTTTTTCTCCTTCTTTCTTACTTTCTTGAAGAAGGAGACACTAGGTGATGAGAAAACTATAAGCATGTTTTATTTGTTCCTTGTCTTCCTTCAGTGGAACATGTGCCTTCAAATAGTGATGTTAATGATGTAGGATATTCTGCCCTTAAGCCCCATTTCATTCTAAGTAAGGTGCTGTGCTAACAGTCCGTCAATGTAACTTTACAATCTTAAGTGTACGAATAAAAATCTACCGATCGGGGATTGTGAAGTAAGCCAACTAACGAAGTAACATTGTGGTGCATTGTAGCTGTCGACTGATAGCTGCTTGCATACTGCAATGACTCAACAAGCTGCACTGGCCACAATTATAGTTCCTGTAGGTTCTACCATGCCATAAAGGTTGTTTGGATAGCATTTAGACTACAAGGAGTCGCTGGCATAATGTAAGCTGTTTACAACTATGCTGGGAGTTTCTGGGCAAAGTCCGTGCTGTTGGGAGATAGCGATGTAGTGGCAGTAAGGTGTTTCCCTCGATGATCAGTATGACAGCCATGCTACTTCTCCACTCTGGAGAGGGAGTGGGGTTACAGAAGGTCGACTTGAAAAATTGTACGTCCCGAATCACCTCATGGCTGTCCAAAGCTGGCGGTAATTCACTAATATGGAAACAACTCCAAAAACCAGCTCAAACAGGTCGTGTGTAACCGACCTCAAGTAGTTGACACCTGGGTTCTGCAGTGACGCAACGCTAATGCTCTTCCTTTTTCGGGAACCCCCCCAAAAAAATCAGCTTTTATGGTGTAGGCATTCGGATGTCGCAACCGCCCACATACTTCCAAAAAAATGCACTGTAGCTTAATTTTGAATGTTAGGCATCGATCAGTTTGTAATAGTGCGAACTTTTAAGTAGCAAAAATTACGCCCTCTCGATAAATATTGCTACACATAGAATCTTGGCTTAGGGTTCTCTAAGAAATTATATCCTATGAGGGAATCGAATCAAAAGTGTGAATGCATAAAATAATCATAGTAGTAGAAGTATGAAATGCAATTAGAATGTTTGTGATTATCATGATAATTAAATATCAATTGGTAGGTGAAACAAGTAAATACATATATACGTAATCACAGGGAACATGGACATAGAAAACTCATGTATGAATCCTGATTGAAGAGAATGACACATCAAATACCAAGGATACCGTGTTTCTTCTAGATCCGACTTTCTTTTCTTGATCATTCTCATCATCTCTAAAGATTGCTTTAAGCATATCCTAGCCAAAATTTCTACAGGCTTGATCCCTAATTTTGTAGAAAGATTGCTTAATTTTCCAAATGCTGAGTATTGATATCCTAGTACACCTACCAGGAAGAAAGAGTAAAGGCCAACTTCACTCCTCCCAGAATAAGAGTTTTTTGCCCATAACACGTAAAATGCATGATCGGTCATCCACCTAGATCCTTGTAACATCACATCAAATAGTCCATTCTCATGGGCTTTATTAACCATTAAGGTCTCCTCCACTTCAGGGAGTAAACCTTTTAGTGTGTTTCTTAAGGCTGTACTTCCCCAATATTCTAGCCGACTAGCACTAGGTCTATGTGCCAATCTAGCACTAATTCCCAAAAAGGCCAGGATAGTTGACTTAAGCGTACTGGATGTCAACGTTTTCGTACTGTCTATTGCCGCTTGCCAAGACAACTTTTGTAACACATCAGATAAATTTTCTACTTTCCTCTCTCCAGAAAACATCCCTGAAATTGTTTCAGAAGCTTCATCACCAGACCCTGCTTCCATGGATATTGGCTCTACAGTCTTGAACAAGCTCCGCTTGTCATAATCGTTTTTGATCCCATCATCGCCAGTGTACAGGTGCAAAAACAGTGGAAATTTATCCTCATATTGTTTTTAAATCCCGGCCTTCCTGAAGTTATCATATCAAAAATCATATATGGCTCCAATTTCCATTTCTTATAATCGTCTACTGACGTTATTGTGATTTCCTGTAATTTGTTCGGACTAAATGGCACCTCTGGGTTACCAATCATGGCATTAGTATCCAACTCATAAAATGACTCATCTCCAACACGACACACAATAGAAATCAGAGCATTTTTGTCTTGTGTTTCACTGTTTGAAGTCATCTTTTCTTGAAGTTTTTGTAATGATCACTTATAGAACACAAAAAGATTATTTAACTTTTACCACCAGCTTTTGTCACAATAAACTGTTGATTTATTTCAATGTCAAATTATGTTGATTAGAGTTTGAGTGTAACAAAAGTTACAACTTTAAAGTTAAAAAATCCCTTTTTCCCATTTTCTCAATGATAAGTGGGACAAGTGATATAATACCGGAAACAGTTCAAAGTGAGAATAACAATAATAATGATAGTAACAGTCGACATAATAAGGGGAGGATATACAAACTGAATAAAAAAACAACAGAAAATAAGTAGGACCAAAGTATGAATGGGGATTAAAGTACTTTAGCATAGACCGATTAAGACTGCGAGTGTTGAGGGGGGGGGGATGGTTGAACATACTTTTTCTGCATACAGAGATCTAGGTTTGCTATTTTGTGTGGACAAAGCTTCAGCTATACAGATGAGGTGGACATGTTATGATTTGGGCAAGTTATGTTTCGCCTTGTAGATAACATTAAAGTAAGAGCCTGTAGAGATAAGCTGAGCATTATCGACCAGATGGTCAGTTATTACCCTTCTTATAACTGCACTTCCACCTCTTCATAGTCACGCAGGATAGTGTTGTTGCACCCTAATCGAACGACCGATGTACCCAGCTTCACACAAGCAAAATGAATTGATAAACACACATAGACTCCATTACTGTTCGATAACTTGAAGGTCAAGCTTCTTTAGTTGACCAACTCTGTCACTTGTCCCACTAGTTGTTCTAAATCAGAAATTTCCTTTATTCCGCAGTGTTAAATTCTATCTTAACAGATTTCATATCATTTTATGTAGTGTTTTCTTATTCGCCTACTATAATCCTATCATTTCTACATCGCTTTACAACATCTATGCATCTCCTATGAACTATTCTATGTGTGACATTTACTTGTTTCACCTACCACTTGATATTTAATTATGATGATTATCCCAAACATTCTAATTGCATTTCATACTTCTACTACTATGATTATTTTATGCATTCACACCTTTGATTCAATTCCTAAAGAAAACCATATGTATATGCGATTGTACAGTTTGGTAATAAATTCGTTGAAAAGAGTTTACTTGCTGAATCACTTGTCTTGATTTACTATATGTACCAATGGGAATTTTCTACGAATTATAGCGATCTGTTAATTGACTCCGGATTTCTAATTTAATTAATCTGATGCTCACTAGCGACTGGCCCTATTAAGGCGGTTAACCTGGGGTTCTAGTGGGAACCCGTGACCAATAGGGTACAGCAGGTTGAAGATGAGCCAGTAACTCATCGAAGAAGACATTTCGACATGGTCGCGCTATGTCGTGAATTGTCAGAAGTTAGAATTCAAGAACCATTGAATCGGGTCCCAGTGGCTCAATGGTCTACGAGCTCGCCTTGTAACTAGAAGATCCTGGGTTCGAACCCTGGCTATGGTACCTACCGATGAAGAGTCCCAAACTAGGACGAAACAGCTGTCCAGTACTCCCAGGTGGTTTTCCAATGGTTCTCTAACTGATGTCAGCTCATGATGAAATTCCCCACGTAATTTTTCGTTGTTTAGTCATGCTTATTTTGTTTTGTTTTTTTAATTGACGATTGATTACGCACGGGAAATGTATTAGAACTTGGTAGACTGACTAGCAGTTCACCATTGTGATTGTATTGTTCCCTTCTAGTGTGTTTGTTTGTGCCTTCTTCTTTAAATTAGCATCAATGTGATGTTGGATCAAATGATCAAGAGAAAATGTTCAGTAAAGGTGAAGAGTTTTCAACGAATGCCTCCAGTTCCGGTGATATCGATGATGGTGACGATGACGATGATGGCGGAGTTGATGATGATGATGATGGTGATGATCGTGCTATACACCAAACACCACCACCTCCAAATGAAGAGGATATTGAATCAGATACACATAACGGTAATCAAGAAGACGACAATAACAATGTTGGCGATGAAGACGATAATGATGATGAGGACGATGATGGTGAAGAAGACGGCGAGGACGAGGAAGAGGAGGTAGAGGAAGGAATAGACGGAGAAGAAGAAGAAGAAAATGATGATGAGGAGGATGTTGTTACTGAAGATGATATTGATAATGATGATGATACTCCGAATCATCCAGGGGAAAATGATGAGACTGAGACTACTACTATTGCTACTGCTTACAATCTTCATGATGCTAATAATGATAATGATAATGATGATGATGATAATAATAATAACAACAACAACTCAGTGACAATGATGATGATGATACATCGTACATCACACTCTTATGTTAATGAATCTGAAGAATTGTTTGCAGTGCATGAACAACATGAAAGGCAACTTCAACAACGACAGCAACAACAGCAAGAAGAAGAAGAAGAACAAAAACGACAGCATCATCTTGACCATCATAATCAACGTCATCATCATCACCATCAACAGCAGCAGCAGCAGCATTTGGAAGAACAAATTGATTCAAAACCATCTTCACATTTCAATTTACCAAGTTCTTTACAAAAACCATGTGATTATGATCGTGATTGTATTGATTACTGTAAGTGATTTTCGTTTTTGTGCCGTTGTTGTTGTTGTTGTTGCTTATTTTGCAATTTCAGTGATTTGGATGACATAACAGTTAGATAGATGATTTCGTGTAGTTTTTACGCGGTTTCTGACTGGTCGAGTTTCAGCATAGAACTGTACACAGAAGTGCATCAGTCCGAGTAACCAAACTCTTGTCATGTAGCACACAATTGAAGACAAAAGCGAGAGAAAAACACATTCAGAAGAACAGTAATAAGCAGAAATGTGAAGGAGAAAGAATAGTAAAATGGAAAAACAAGAGGGTTTAACGGACACGGTGTCTTCGCTATGGAGAACAATTTCGAGCGATATCACCAATTGCCTCCAGACATTGGTCCTTAGAATGCTGGGGACCCCAATCAGTCAGACAGTTTATACACCTCCCTACGTAGCTGGCTAAAACTAGCTCTTAAAGATTGCATGGTGTGACTCCATGTTTTGGTCTAACCACTACTAGCTCCTTTCCAACCTAATCCTGTGCCAGCTAAGATTGTCTGTAGAGAAAGGGACAACTAGACATGCAAAAAGGCATGTCCTAACCAGGTCAATCGATGTAGCTTCACAGGCTGATTGTTTGACTTCCCCTTCCTACTTAATACTTGACGCCCAACCCCAATATTGCCTTACCCTTTTATACCATCTAACGCTGGAGAGAGAACAGAGACACTTAGGATCAAAGAGAGCTAGCCTTTTCGTATCTCCTATTTTCAATGGCCATATCTGACAGCCATAAAGGACAGCGGGGGTGGATTGCTAAGTAGAACATACTCCCTTTGGTCGATAGCCAGTCAGATATCAAGTCCACGCCTGAGATGGCCTAAGTTGGTAAATCCCACATGAGCCTTTGTTTCCGTGCTAAGATTTCTTCAGCAATCAGTTGATTTTGACTGTTACAACTTCCCAAATAAGTGAAGTGGTCAACACACACTCTGTTGCTTCACTACTTATCTTTGGTCTTTATTAGAGCTGGTCAAATGCATAACTTATAAGTATGGGTGTACGACTTTGAAGCGAGTTAGCACATAAATTGAATGTCATTCTCCCGCCCTATTAAGGTTATATGATCACAGGAGTATTGACATCAAATGAACCTGATGTTCTCTATTGTATGAATGTGTATATTACCATTGTTACTTTCAGGAATGCGCTACCAAATGTCTTCTTAATGTGTTGCGTCACCATTTAGGGTCATTCGTGTAGGCCGTTGATTTACGACCACTGAGTCATGGGTACGAATCTCACTTTACCTACTTAAGGTTAGGGCAACCAGATAGTTTCATTAACTCTCACACAACAGGTTTGGCTTACTATTGTTGTACAAGTGATTTTTTCTACTCAGATGATTAGAATTTAAGTGGTGCAAAAACATCCCGAAGTGTTTCAGCCTGGTGTACAAGCAATTCAGCTATAACACCTTTACCGTATGTATGACGCTAATCCGAATCCCGGTCAAATCGAGAAATCGGCATAAAATGCTTCGAAGTATTTTATCTTTTGAGTTCGCCGTATGACAACGGTTCTCTGATCGATGTCAGTTCGTAATCTAACACAAAAAAGAAAGTGTAATATCTGATGGTTAATGCAACATCAGTCCAAACCACTTCACCGATCAACATCAAAATGACTGACGGACTGGTTTCAATATAGAACTTTACATAGAAGTGCAGAAGTTTGAGATGCCACACTACGTGTACCAAACAGAGCAAAAGAAGAGAAGGATTCAAATGGGAGATAATAAACAGAAGTGTAATGGAAAATAGTAGTAATATGGAAGAAGAAGAATAGAGTTTTATTGGATATGACAAATCACAAAGAGTGAATGCATCTGCCTCACTGAGGATGATTTCGAGCCACATCACCAATTGTCTGTAGGCACTGGTTCTTACCATCCCGAGGACCCCAACCAGAAGGGCAGTGTACATACACCTCCCTACCACCTAACAGGGGAAATAGAAAGTAGACATCTATGATCAAAGACAGCTGGCCTTATCACGTCTTCCACTTTCAATGACTATGTCACACGGCAATGAAGGAGGACAGGGCGAACTGTTGAGTAGTACACAAGTCCTTTGGTCGATATCACGTCTACGTCAGAGATGGCGTAAGTTGTCAAGTGCCAAATACCAAACATCTAAAACAATTAGGCCAATATTTCTTGGTCTTCGAGACATCATGTTTGGACTAATAAGTATACGGAAATTAGTCATGTATACTGAATTCACACTGAATGAAGATAAAAACTTATATATGTTCATTTCGAATGAATCTTTTCTCTATATTTCCTTTTAGCTAACCATGTTCCCTCTGGAGCAGGAGGTAATGTGGATTCTGAAGGTATGATGCCTCCCCCGCCGCCGCCACCACCACCTTACAAGATTCCTGATCATCTTCAACCGTTTGATGAACCGGTTTTCATGAATAATCCATGGACGCCACCTAACTATCCTTTATATCACCCATATCCCCAGCTACCATATCCACGTCACCAGCATCATTGTCAATCGAAGAAAATTTCCCCCATGGAACAATTCGATCCGAAACGATTTGTAACTAGTTCAGTCAGTCTAACAAAATCACCAACACTTCCAACATTTGATAATCCGTATGACTTGTTGTATATGAAACAGAATTGCCTCCCTGAATCATTTCCTCCTCCTCTCCCTCCACCTCCCGCACCTCCAGGTGCTCTAATACCAAGGCGTTTAATGTGTTCACAGAGTCAGGAAGAATTATCCGGATTGGTGAAAAATGATGGTAAGTGCTCTCCCTCTCTCTCTCTCTCCCTCCTTCCATCTATTGCCTTGGTTTGACCTGACTTTTCATGTACGATAATTTTTGGAACTGAAAAACCTGTGCAAATAACAACTGGCTAACAGTGTTTATTGTGCGATTTAGTAAGAAAGTAGACCAAAAGTCAAACATTGGAAACTCCTACATCGTTCCTGAAATAGTTGTCTTTGTGATTAAGGAAGCATTTCACTTGTTTGTGTCTTAGGGTGCGTGTGGAATAAATCTCCATAAACAGGCAAAGTTCTGCTTTAGACGCCTAAGAGGCGTAGACACACCAATGACCTCGGAACTAGTAGATGCGATGAAAAGCAAATTTGGGCCCTTAATTCAATCCCTAGTTAGGTCCCCAGCTTAAAAGTAATGTTGATCCTTTCCTTACCTAAACAGAGATTTTTACACTCCATTCGTATAATCAGTTTTTATCCCATACTATTGTACAATTTGTTAATATCAAATCCCCACTAGAAATCAATATTTTCCCCTTTTGTTTCAGCTATGCCACCATTTACAGCTATTTCTCAAGCGTTTGGTTTCCCCATCCAGTGGTGCTATCGTGGTGTGTGTATGTTGCCGCGTTTCCCGGTAACCTGTACACCATTCAATAATTTACCAGTGTCGTGTGGGGCAGCGGCAGCAGCCGCGACTGTAGCTGCTTTCGTTCTGACCACAACGACTTCGCATATATGCTCCTTGGCAGCGGCGGCAGCTTGTGAGTATAATGCTTCTAATAAAAATAATAACAATAACAATACGACCAATAATAATAATACTCAAAACCAACCATTTGTTGGCAATTATCAACCGGATATGCATAGTGGCGCTATTCTAGGACCACACAACAACAAGCCAGAATTATTTCCTCCATCAAAATCTAATATTCCGTTCGATCCTGCATCAGGAGGTTTTAAAAACTTCTCTGAAGTGGATTTTGTCAATCTATTAAAAGAAAATCAACAATTAAAACAACGCCTTGTGGATATTAGTGCTAGGCTTCAGTATATTGATGAGGCAAGTTTATTATTATTTGTATTTAGCTAACTTTTTTTTATTCCTTCACGTTCCCAGTGGAACATAAGACTTCAAGCTACAGGCTTAAAGTTTCTCTAGCAGTGTTTATTTTTACAGGATGGGGTTGCTAGCCTCATGCCCAACCTTCCCTCTCTACAAGCCTTATTACTGACTTCGTGAGGTGAAGGAGTGCGCCGGCCGGGGATCGAACTCCAGACCGTGTGCATGGTCGGCGAGCGTCCTAACCGCTGTGCCACCGACGCTAATTGTAATTAGATATAATGGGGAAGAGTTGTAGTTCAAGTGGTTGATTTTGGTGTAGTTGTGTTCTCTGACCTGTATGGTTTAATTGCGAAGCTTTCATTGTCTTTTTAGACAGCATCTTCAACGCACTATTCACATCGGAGTGAGGTTTTAGAATTCTCCACGAGTTTATTAGTCATCTCTTCTGGTAGACACGAATGTGTAATTGTTTGTTTTCGTGCACTTTTTCACCCTCTAGTCCACTTGTATTGGCATTGATTGTTTCTTTGGTATGAAAATTGATCTTTTGTTCATGTGATTTCCTTCTTATGGATCAGTGAATCTTCTCAACGTCATCGTGTCTGTTGATTGCCGATCCGCCTGAATATCAGGCTTCTGGAAACTCTCTGGCGTTTCTGGTGTTCTCCCTGTTTAGGATTTAAATACTACCCTAATCGATTGGGTGTTCGTGGTTGTCTGTATGCAGTGGTATGAAGGAGTGGACATCTTGTCTTTTGATGGCCAGTCCATATGTCCATGGATGCGAAGACGAAGAGGGCATCCATTTTGATCAATTTGATGTTTTTACAGTTATTGCAATTTGTCCTGTAGGTGATGTTGGTTTTATCTTCTTTCACTGTTAAAGATTTTTGGTTGATGTAGGGTCGAATGTAGTGATATTTTTGGTTTTTGTGCGACATAAACTCCCAAAGGCTTGAATAGTCCTATAGTTATTCCGAAGATAGTCTTTACTTATGATAGGGCAATTTACTTTGTGTTTTAATTGGAAGCCTTTGATTTGGTTGTTTGAGTTGAGGGTAGATGTCTTTCGATGAAGTTCTTATGGATGTCTATTTTTTTCGGAAGACGTCCATAAGATATTTTTCTTCAATTTTCCTTAAGGTGGTAGGAATGCTGCAATAGGTCCTAGCTCTCATGAATAATTTTTGTATGCAACTCTTTTTGTGTATATATTTGGATTTTTGTTCTTGTAATTGAGTATTTGATCACTGTGAGTTGATTTTCCATATACTCGAGTTTCCAATTTCCCTGTAGTTGTTCTCTTGTCTAAAAATGGAATTTCGTCCTCGGATTCCTCTTCTCTTATGCATTTGATGTCGTTGAAGATGATGTTTATTAGGTTGTCAGTTTTGTCTAAGTCGTTTCTTTTGATTATCATGAATGTGTCACCCACGTAGCGTATCAAAATTTTGGGTTTGACCTGTAGTAGTAGCATTATGTTTTTGAGTCTCTGCTTAGCAACTTTTTCAACCAGACCTAATATGAACGATCCCATTGGTGTGTCCCTTGGTTAATATGCTTGGCCATTGAATCGAAAACACTTTGTTAGACATAGGTGTATACATTCCATTCAAATTGAGTGTTGCGGGAGGTGTCTATCAGTGCTGAGTAATTGTTTCATGGTTTTTTCTGCTAGTTTCTCTCGGATCGAAGTTTATAATGCGGGGACATTGGAGGATACCATTACTTCTTTCTCGTCTGTTTGAATGCCTTTGATTTCCTCTAAAAATTGGGTTGCAGATTTGATGGAGTAGTCACAGGATTCTGTCAGTTTCTGTTTCAGTTTTCTGTATAGTCCTGGAAGGGATACGGTCGGTATTAGGGGGGTGGGAATGTTTGGTTTGCATATTTTGGGTCTGCTGTAGAATCGAGGTCATTGAAAGTTTCGCAGCTAGACCATCCAGCTCAGGGAACACAACCATACCAAAATAACCGTAGTTATTTATGCATTTTATAACTGGGTTTGATTTAAGGAAGTAACTTGTACTCTGAGGCCTAGAATTTTCCAAAAAATTCAATCATCTAACTTTCAGTCGTTGTTATCAAACGTACTGATAATAATTTCTAAAGCGATCTGAATGGTCAGCAAGATCAGCTGGACGTCCTGGATTCGACCCCTCTTGGGGTAATGACTATGTACTGCTGAAGGGTCCCAGGTTAGGTCACATTAGCTGTCTAGTACTTCTTCCTGTTGGTTTCAAGGTTCTACTAACTGAAGTCCACTTGTTGATTAGACCAGAAAATAGAATCTTGACGCTTATTCTTATATGCAGAATTTCAATACAACCAAATCAGATATTATCAGTTTTAGTCATGTTAAGACGTCTTGTTGTAAGCCACATTTGCCTGTTTTTACACGATCCAGTGACTCGTCTTAAATTTCATTAAGTTTAATGTAATGAGGAGGTAGAGTAAGAGCAGTTTAAACGTCATAGAGATAAATAAAACTTGAAATACATTCAACTAAAACTGCCTAAGGTTGCAGTATTGTAATTTCTTACAGTGTAGTCGTTTGTTGACCAACATCTCAATAAATAACCGGAAGAGGTTTAATCTCAAAGACTGACTATTGTTGATTTGACATGCTTTTATTACAAGTAGATCTTTATGCCGCAGTTTTGAATTTACCTTACGACGGTAACATTGAATGCATGAAGATGATTTTGCCTGCGAAGCTGTCATCATTACCTTTCTTGATAACCTCTTAGGCACTTACCTCAATAGAGAATAATAAAGTGAGTGTTTTGAAATTCGCCTGCATTGATATTATTTTCACAAATTAGATATTGTCGCCAACTAATATCAGTTAGAAGCGTCGCTGGCATAGCGGTTAGGACGCTCGCCGGTCATGTACATGGTCCGGGGTTCGATCGCCGGTTGACACACTCCTTTACCTCGCCCACCACCTCGCTAAGCCAGAAATAATGCTGGTGAAGAGGAAAGGTTGGGCATGAGGCTAGCAATCCCATCCTGTAAAATAAACACTGCTACAGAAGCTTCAAGCCACTAGCTTGAAGTCCTATGTTCCACTTGGGAACGTGAAGGAAAAAAATATCAGTTAGAGATCATTGAAAACTAGGGAGTAATAGACAACTTTGGAACTCTTCAGTAGTACACTTGGAACTCAGGACCTTCAGCTTACAAAGTTATAGGATGCATTTGCCTGAAGTTCTAGTGGGAAGTCGTGACCGACTGTGTCCACGCTGTCGGGAGTGAGGACAAATACTCACTGATTACGAGTTGTTAGGAGTTGGAATTTATGGGCTAGCCATTGAGTCGGGTCTCAGTGGCTGAATGCTCACCTTGTAACCAGAGGGTCCTCAGTTCAAACTGCAGTGGGTGCGTACTGGTGAAGAGTCACAAACTAGCGCAAAATAGCTGTCCAGTACTCGCTGCTAGTGTTCCAGGGGTTCTCTAACTGACGTCACCTCGTGATCAAACTTGATATATAGGGCTTTTCACAACTTATGCAATTCATTTTGTTGATGGTGTTTATCTTGTCTGCAAAGTATCAAGTAAAGTGATTGATTATGTTGGCTTGTTTACACTGTCTATTCACTCTTGCTTCGTTCCAGATAAACTATTTGAAGCCAGTCGTTGTGTGCAGGTTAATAGTTAGTGCGTTATAAATTAGTAAATCTCCCGATCTTTAGGCGGACTTACGAGTTTGTATTCATTTCTTCAGGTTTTTAGAACTGATTATTTGTGTCATGTTTTTCTGAATACTTTATGCACACATCGTGTGTGTGTATGGAAAACTTCCTTTTTCTTCTTCTTGGAAACTTCTCTGTCATGTGGAGCTTGTGAATAAGATTTCTTCAAATATCATGGTAAAATATTCGGATGCATATAAGCATATGCGTAAAACTTGGGCACAGTGGTTAGGACTCTCGCCGACCATGCACATGGTCCTGGGTTCGATCCCTTACCGACGCACACCCGATATCTATGGTCGGCCTGCAAATTTGGGCTACCGATATCCATGCTGAAAATGCCATACTTGTACTGAAAATACTGTGTGGCATCAAGCTGTAATCAAAATAAATAAAAAATTATAAATAAATAAATTAGTGTGTTTATTAGATATATCACACAGTGGAACAGTATTATTATTTACTGGGTACTGGAGCTCGTAAACGTAGCTATTTAGGAATGATTTCATTTTTCGAGCATCGAATGTTGAAAATACGATGATTTGCATATCTTGCTTGAGTTTGCGAAAGTCGACTGAGTGTATTCATTAGTCTTGGGCACTGTGGTAGTAAGTAATCCAGTGAATAATACTGTTTCACTGTGCGATATATCTAATAAACAAACTAATATGCATATAAACAATTTGCATAATAACAGTAATAATCACTCGAAGTAATACGCTTAACAGATTGTTATTTTTATTTTTTTGCTTACATGGATCAAGTATCAATCAACCCTTAGATGTATTGTTTATTATTGATACAGTAATTTAATAAATTTAATCATAAAAACCTGAAATAAAAGCGTTTTTCTTGTTAAATTACAAATATTTCTCAAATGTCAGATGGATCACATTGTGATATAATTTAGTGGAGATGTGATTGATTTTTGAGCAATTAATCAGTCATCTTCCGACCAACGCATCGCCGGTTTGAATATCCCAGCCCACCTACTTTAGTCTGGGTAGCCACCTAGGTAGTATATATATATATATATATATATATATAAGCAGTCTTCACGTGTGCACCATATCCTGGTACATAAAACATCTGTTTCGAGGTGATCGAGAATTTTGTCTTTATAGATTCACAAATGCATAAACTCCTCTTCGGATTATTTAGCTCACAAATACCTTATCACGTATTTCCTTTTTGTGTTGCTTACGAATGATGACTCATTTATTAATAACGTGTAACTAATCAAATGCTTGCAAACTGCCACTTGATCAATTAATCTGATGCTCATTAGAGACTGACTGTGTCCAGGAGACCACCTGGAGTTCTAGTGAGAAGTCGTAAACAGGGAGATCCACCACTAAATTAGGCAATGAGAATAGTTACCACCCGCCTACGACATTGGGTGACATCAAATGGTAAAAGTTGGAAATGATGGGCGACTGGATCGGGTCCCAGTGGCTGAGTGGTCTACGAGCCAGCTCTCCTTGTAACCAGAGGGTCCTGGGTTCAAACTGAATGGGTACGCACTGCTGAAGAGTCGCGAACTAGGGCAAAGTAGCTGTCCAGTGCTCCCAGGTTTTCTAGGGGTGATGCCAGATCGTGACCATACAATTAATGCAGGTAGGTATGCAGATATGAACAGGGAAAGCGTAAATCAATAGTTAAGTAAATGGTAGGTGTCAGCTCACACATGCAATGGTTGGACTTCATGCCCCTAATTCAAAGTTATCAGTCGGATGTGATGTCATTGTCCTTATATAGGTTTAGCAATATCATTCGTGTGTACAACTAATAGTTCTTCCTTAACATTTTACACAACTCATAAATTTTCTATGTGTATTCAGTTTCCTGTTATTGTTGTTCTTATTCCTTTCCTAAAAATATACCTTTCCCCATAATTCATGTATAGCTTGAATGGCATGTACAACGATTAAGTTTACTGGTGGAATCAATGATTGTATCACATCAGCGTCAATGTGAATTAGACTATCAACTACAAATCTATTCACCAATCTCAAGTCAAAATGGTGCTGGGATGGATTTCGATTGTAACAAACCATCAGCTCAACCACCACCTGCACCACCGCCCCCACTAGCTAATTCATCATCATTATCATCATCGTCAGTAGCAGCAGCCGCCGCCGCAGTTTCACCTTTCGGACCAATTGATCAACTGCATAATATGCCAGCAAATCCTGGCAGTCTACCTGCTATGCCGACTAATATGATGACAAATTATAGGACGAATCCATATATTATGCCTCAGTGTATGAATAGGCGAGTTACACAACCAAATATTATGCCGTCACGATTTCATGCTCCACATGTATTACAGCAAGTACAACAACAACAACAATCTGAAAAATCTGAGGTATGTAGCCACATCTTATTGGATTGTTTTTTGAAAAGATGTGAAACCAAAAATGTTTTTTATTTGTTTCTGATGAATCATTTCACAAAGCTGTAGTGACGCGTATTCATTCATATCCAACAGAGGAACCGATTAGATAATGGTAAACTATTTCAGAATAGTCCTAGTTGCTAACTAAGTCGTGTAATAAAAGTCAAATTTACATAGTAACCTGATCATGTATTTCAGATCTCAGTAGTTCCTTTTAAGGTGTCGTTCCGACTGTCTTTGAAACGCTGTAGTGGGAATCTTTTGACCATGGTGTTTGGCCACGATAAGAAGCTGAAAAATTAAACTTTTAGTGGTATTCTATACTATTCAGAGATTGATTTTTTGTTTTGCTAGAAAGTGTTACTGATGCACTGACTGTGTCGAATGTCTTCTTTACTGATCTGAACAGATGATTTTTAATAAGATTTTTCTGACTAAATTTCAGATAAATTCAGAGGATTGTTTTTTAGGACAAATCATGTCCCCTTTGTGTTGTTTCTTCACGTACATCTATTTCAGAGGCTATAAATCTAGATTTATGTTTGTTATTGAATAAGATGTCAAGTAGACATTTGATTCAATTCAATGTCGCTCTTATTATCTTCAGAGTAAATCTCCTAAATATATAAGCTAAACAGATGTATACATTTTTGTTTAATTATTATTTCCTTGGGTTCTGAGTGGAGCATGGGGCTTCAACAACACATCTCCATGTTGTCCTGTTCTCTGCAGTCCTCTCTGACTGGCTCCACTATTGCCCATGTACTCTCATCTCCTCCTCACACGATCTCCTCCATGTCACCCTCGTTTGTCATTCGAGTTCCACTCGACCAATGGTCTGGTACACGATGTTACCCAACGGTCCCAGAGTATTTACGATCTGTCTCCATTTTCTTCGGAATATTTGTTGAGCGATAGGTTCTTAGTTGGCTGGCTCGTTCCCGGAGTTTCTTCTTTTTGATTCTTTCTGGCCATCAATCAGATCTTCAGTATGGAGTCAGAGAAGGTATCTGTTGGTAAAACTCTGCAGTGTCCTGTTGGAAATACTTTTCGTGACGCGTTGGCAAAGTTTCTGAGTCATATAAGGGTGATTGACTTGACATTGGTGTTGAGAATCAGACTTTTGTTCTTCATCTTAAGGGCAGCATTTTTTCAAATTGATTTCGGAATGATGAAAGTCTTTCTTGCCGAGACAAGTGAAGGAAGTGACCTCTTTTAAATTTCTCCCGTTGATTGATAGTCATTGGGGGGATATTAACTTTAACCAGTTAGTAAACTGTTCAGTTCATGTGAATTTCTCAGCAAGTAAATACATCCATGAATATGATAGGATAGAATTCGATCTATTTGAATGAGTTGTATCGAAAATGTTCGGGAAGCATTATTCACGTGTAATTCTTCTTCATTATTATAATAAGTGTGACTAAAATGACTTTTATACGCCTGTCTTCCGTATTTTTTTCTACCTCGTCTCTCAGATTTTCCGCTTAACTATTCAGACACTTTTTTTAAAAACATAATCTTTACTGGACGAAGTATAAACTGTTTGGTTGTTTATGTTGGTTCGTCACTGAGGTGTTGAGGTGTGTCGGTCGCACAGCGGTAGAGTGCTCGCCGACCATGCAGGTGGTCTGGGGTTCGATCCCCCGGCCACCAGCACTCCTTTACCTCGCTAAGCCAGTAGTAAGACTGTTCAAGAGGGAAGATTGGGCATGAGGCTAGCGACCCCATCCTGTAAAAATAATCACCACTGTTACAGAAACTGCAAGCCCCTAGCTTGAAGCCCTATGTTCCACTGGGAACGTAAAGGAATAAAAAAAACTAAGGTTTTGGTTAGTTTCTTAATGCTGATCGGCACATTCTGTCGCTGAAACTTGCAACATACCCTCCGAGCGAAGCTTCTGCCATCCCACTTGAAATTGGAGAGTAGCTTGGGTACTATAACCGGAATATCATGTTCTATGCGATTTTCGGTTTGTAGTTCTTTTTTTTATTTCCAGTTAACGTCACATTTTAAAATAATTATTGGATTGAATGAGAGCAACATGACATCTTAGTTAGCCACTATATATATATATATATATATATATATATATTCGCCTCAACTTACCGTGAAAAACTGCGACTAGCTACAGGACGAAGTTATTTCGAGTATTCTAGTGAGAAGTCGTGATCAGTGAGGTTCACCAGGTCGGGAGTGATGACAAATACTCGCTGGTGGTGGTTTACGAGAGCTCTCCTTGCAACCGGGAGGTTCTAAATTGGGACCCCTGTGGTTTGTGCAAACTACTGAAAAGTCCCAAACTAGGTTGATAAAACAGTTACCCAGTATTCCCTGCTTGTTTTTATTGGTTCTCTAACTGATATCAATCCATGGGCAAACTTGAGAACAAATCAAATCTCTAAAAACAAACTGCTTTTGCGCGTCTAGATTTTCACAATGAATTTATTTGAACCAAAAATTATTCTTCTAACCTCGTCTATGAATATTTCTTGTTGTTGTTTCTTTTGCCATCTACTAATATTACCACTGCTATAGCAAAGAATTCCTATGGCAAATTCCAATAAACGTTCTATGGATCCCCGTACTGTCTCTCTGGATCGTGCATCACAGCCAAGAAACACATGTACAGCGTATAATGATATCGGTTGTAGTTGTATAAGATGTCCATTGCATGAAGTCTATCCACCGTATTCCAGAGATCATGCCTACGTGAATACAACTAAAAATGAAGATATCTTTTCTATGCCTAATATACCTGTATTGAACTCGAACAATGCAAATTTCTCGCCTAGTTATCGTCGACGTCTTTGTCCTGTACGAACAACACAAATTCCACCATTGATTAGTGCAGCTCATTTAATCCCACATTCCAGCTTATTTCCAGGTTCACCTGCACCACGTGTATTGTCTACTTCTAATCCTATTTGTTCCAATAAACCATTGTCTCATCCAGCTATCAAAATAACTGAAGAAAATATCAGTGAGTTTTTATGTAAATATTTTAATTTTTAAGTCAATTGATTGACGATGACTAGCAGTGGAATCCAGGATGCGCATTTCGTCCTATTTGGGACTCGTCGTCTGGGTTTGCCTGCATTCCCTTGTGAGTGTTGGTGTCCCCAACGAGGCTCGAACCCTTGACTTCAAGTTGCATGACCAGACATTGTCGAAGCATCTGCACAAAAGAAGCCGACATGTCAACCTGAGACCGAGCACTTCAGTACAATCAATCGACGGGAAAATCTAAATTGGATTATATAGTTGTAATTTTTATTTGATGAATTGTCAGTGTGAACTTGATAGTAAACGACAACAGTAATATCTGCGTAGGTAAAGCCATTTCTATAGACTACAGATAGTACATCGCTGGTTCAATAGTATTAATGTTTGCTAGCCACACGAGAAGTCGAGATTACCATTCCTGATCGACGCACTCTTAAACTCATCATAGTTGACAGCAATCACAGAGAAGATGGAAGGCTAACAACTCTCTCCAGTAAAAATAAAAACACTTCCTCTACTGAAAGTTCAAAGCTTACAAACTTATGTTCCATTCGGAACATAACTGGTGGATGAAAGCCATTGATAGTTGATCGAAACTCTGTTGGTAACACTGCAGAGGGGCAGTGGGGTGGTTATTATATTCTGTTTAGAAACTAGCTATCCTTTTCAGTTTTCCCGCTCTTCCCATCCAGATGACTGGCTGGTTTCAACATAGACATTCACACAGACGTGCATCAGTTCGAGTTGCCACTCTCTCTCCTTGTAGCAAAAAGTAAGAGAAGAGAGTAGAGAGATACAAAAGGGAGATAATAAACAGTGAAGCAAAAAGAACAGTGATATGGAAGAATAATAGAGTTTTATTGGATATGACAAATCACAACGAGTGAATGCATCTTCGCTAATGAGAACGATTTTGAGTCATATCACCCATTGTCTCCAGCTATTGGTTCTTGCTATCCCGCGGGCAAAAACCAGTCAGGAAGTCTATGCCTCCCTACATGGTTTAAACTGACTGTTATGTGTTTCATTGATTGATGAAGCCATGCTATGGTTTGAGCACCACTAGCTCTTTTCAACCTGATCCATCCTGTGTCAGCTAACATTACCGGTGGAGGAAGGCGATTGTTAGGCATATGTAGCACATGTCTTAACCATCTTAGTCGATGTAACTTCATAACCACGTCGATTGTTTCCCACTCCTTGACTAGCACTCGACCGATGCCTAATCTCAATATTGCTAACCTCATTGTACCACTCAACACTAGAGAGAGTCCAGAGACACCTATGATCAAAGACAGCTAATCTTTTCATGTCTTCCACTTTCAATGGCCATCTCTCACAGCCATAAAGGAGGATGGAACGAACTACTGAGTAGTACACACGCACTTCTGCCGACGGCTGGCGGGATATCATGTCTACGCGATAGATGGCGTAAGTTGGCAAGTCCCACATGAGCCTTTGTTTCCGTGGTGAGATTTCATCAGCAATTAGTCCGTTGAGGCTGATGCAACTCCCAAAATAATTGAAGTGGTCAACCCGCTCTACCACTACACTCTATCTTTTAGCCAGGAGTGTGTGTGTACTAGAGTCACAGATCTCTTTTTAAAAAATACTATCTCTTAATTTGGCCCCATTTTCCTTTCCCTCAGCTCACTTCTTCAAATTGCCGTGACCTTTAGGTTGGACGGTTTGTAATGTAGTGTAAAAGGCAACTTCGTTGGAAGATGTTTACAGCTTCGCCAGTTGATTCATTTCAATAGAGTACGCTAAACCTTAAAATTTATCACCGATATACTTTCTTTTTACTACTTGTCAGGTTTCTTAGCCATTTCTGTCAATAATGCGTATGTGAAGCGAATGTATTGAAGTTGTTAGTCTTAAATACTATCGCGTATGTGCATGTAAATTTACATGTGTGCGCCACTTATCACCATTCTAAGTGGTGTCTTACTTAACTCAGTTTTCAACATAGAACTTTGCAGCAGTTCAAGTTGTCACGCCTTATAAGGAACCTATAAAGGTAGGGAAAACTATTTAGAGGAACTTGGGGAATAATTAGATTTTGGTGAATCTACGAGTTCATAAATAAATTGATGCAACTGCTCCAATGGAGAATAATATTTTGAAATGTGCCACCAACAGTCGTAGCCATTAGTTCTTAACTTGTCAAAAACCCCAACCACACCCCTTATATGGTTCTCTCAAACCAAGAGATTCTTTGGTTATGGGTTTAAATTTTACCACCCCTTACTCTTTTTTTTCATCTGATCCTGTGTAAGCTAATATCGTTAGGCAAGAAAGTCGGTGGCTTGATATGCATAGCGCATGACCTAACCATTTCAGTCAGCGCAGTTTCACAACCTCATATAACTCCCCTTTGCTAACTAACGCGCTCTACTCTTAATCTCAATAAAATTCATCGTGTAATGCCACTTAACATGGGACGTAGAGCGAAAACACCTGTTATCTGAGACTGCTATATATATATATATATATATATATATATATATTACAGGTGAGTTCCCTGGGTGGCTTCTGTTAGAGAAGCATTGAATACCAACAGGAAGTATTGGGTAGCTACTTTGTTCTAGTTTGGGACTCTTTGAGAGCAGGCATCCACGACCCCCTACCAGGAATCGAGCTCAGGACCTAAAGGCTACTGGGTCAAGCTTGTTGACCATTCAGCTACGTGGGCCGAAATTCAGTGACGCATGAATTCTAACTGCCACCAACTAGCGACATAGAACAGCTCCTTGAATATTTCAAATGACAGCGAATTTGAATGTGTGACAGTGCTTCAAATCCTGCAATATAAATCTTTTTGAAATGTTTTAATTACGTCTAAATTTGTTTTTCCTATCTGGGTTATAGTGTTTCGTTTACTCGTGTAATATTTTCGTTATTTTCATGTTGTCATTGTATTATTATTTACTTCATTTAAAAATAGGAAATCGAATACCGAAAGAGTCAACTCAATCAGGTACAACTGGAAATAACAACAATAATAGCAATAGCAACAGCGATAACGATAATAATAACAGTAGTAGGCATAACAACAGACCAACTGGTCTCAATTTTATGACTGAAAAATCTGATATCTTCGATGATAGTAATATGCTTTTAAGGCATTTATCACCGCATAATGAAATTCATTGTGTAAACACGTGTACAGTGGTCACATCCTATCATCTAGATCATTGTTATCCATTGTGTGTTGTTGACAGAGTTCCTGCTTCTGGAATAAACTGTAATAATAATAACAATAATAATAATATTCGTAGTGAAGTGAATAGTCAAATAATGGAGGCTAATACGGATAATACTATTACTACTACTAATAATAATAATAATACTAACAAGAGTAATACTAGTAATCTGCCTCAGTTGAACACTAATAGTGCTGTGATTGCAACCACGCTAACAGTAACAAGTGCAACGCAAACAACAACTTCAACAGTAACGCCTGCTAGTAAAATGTCGACCACCACCACTTCGTTGGCGTCGTCTTCGTCTCTGATCAAATCCAGTAAAACAAATGCTGTTGAAAATACTAAGCAATCTAAAGAGAAAGTAGGTTTTACTCAGCCAAGAAGTACAGCATCAACAACAACTACTGGCAGATTACAACGAAAATCATTGTGTACTACTACTGCAAAACCGTGTCCTGTTTCAACTCATTCTACTGGACATCCACAACAACAACAGCAGCAGCAACAACAACAACAACGGAAAGTTTCTTACGCATCAACCAAACGAACAAAACAAACAGGTAGTAGTAATGGTAGTGGTAGTTGTAATAATAATAATAAAAATAAAAATTCTGGTGCTAGTGGACTCACCATAGCTGCTGCTTCACTAGTCTCATCAATAAAGAAAATCACTTCAAGCGTTAGTACGTCTGTGTCATCGCCTAAAGCACTGGATAAGGTGAGATTTTCAATTTACCCTGTTTGCTGTTTATTTTTGTTTTCTTGAATTTTCTCTTACTTAAAACATATTTTCTCCTGTGTATTCGGGTGATGTGTGCTGCTATCACTTGTGTGTGTATATGTGTTACCCTTCACTTATATTGCCTTCAGAGATACATTAAGTATTGGGTGTGTAGAGTTGCACGCCAGGCATGAAGAAATTGTTTAATTGTGACTGTTCCCGTGATAAGAATATGTACATTGCCCTTCAATCCCCATCTCTTACCGTATCACACACACATCTGTTTCTCAGTCGAATGAATGAAATTATTTGGAACAGATTATGCATCAGTCGGACTTATGTTAGTAAGAACTAAGGGCACATTACCCTCCTAATTGCTTGGACTGAATTAAATAGAACGAGATCCATTCACTGATGAATGCCAACTGTTTCGATCGATTACCTCTCCATCTCCCTAATATATTCAAATTTGGATTGCTGTGAAGACGTTGGAAATGCCTTCTCTCGATAGTAAAAGTTAGATTGCCACAGGATATTGCTAACCTAGCACAAATATTCTTCATCCCTACGACGCCACGTCCTAGGCTGACCACATCCCCTCTCCTTTCATCCCGTCACAGGACTGGCGAACAGAGACCGGTGTGGAATCTTGTAGGATGACGTTGGTAGTACACCCCCAAGCCAGCGAACTCGCCGACACTAGTGATGATCTTAACACTACCGGACCGCAGAATTAACGATGATGCCATCGAACGTAAGCAACGGAGATAACGATGATCGAATACGTAGAGTCACCGCTCATTCCATGTTCGGAGAGACCAGGTTTCACAGGCGTGTAAAGTAAGACATCGCGCACCGAAGCATTGTAAACTCGGCCATTGACAGCCAGGTCAACTTCGCAACGGTGCCAAATGTGGCTCAAATTGGCATATGCCATCCTAGCTTTCATGATATAGTTAGAAATCTAGTCGGTCATACCTCCACGAGCACTCGCACAACTACCCGGATACACGAACTTATCGACAACTTCAAGCGGTTCACCTGCTTCAAAGGAAGTGGAAATGGATCGTATAGACGGTGGGGAGACTGTCGGTCGACAACGTGCACCAGGCCGTAGCTCGAGTGGAAGGTGAATGGGAAACGACGAGAGAGTAGCGTTTGTGTGTGCGAGGTGAAGATAAGTGCACGTTTTCAATCTTGGGATCAGCTGAAGAGGAATTAAGAAAATAAGACCAAATGTAGGTGTTCTGTTGAAGCCCTATTTTCCACCCGGAAATCTAGAGAACAATGATAATAATCATTAGTAACCGAGGGCATATATGAAACAGCTTGCTAAGAGGAGCAATAGTAGGATTATTTGCACCAACATTAGTTAGAGAAGTATTCAGTAAAAAAAAAAAGAATCGCATGAATTGTTCTGCTGCGTACTAGTTTCAGGCTCCTTTGTAGTGTATATCTGACTTTGGTTTATGCTTGAGTTCGTTCGGAGTTAAATCACCTAACGATGGATTAAGCCATCAGTCTTATGCGAATTTATAGAACTCAAAGCACCCAGATGTTTTAGGTGAAAGTGCTGAGCATATGTTGTCACATGGGGTACGCTACTGTTGTTGAAAGAATTTCGTTTCCTTGATTGCAACGTAATTAATTTTAAATTCTATCGTTTCCTTTCTTTTGCACAGATAATGTCTACTGTTGTTAATAATCGAAACTCAGATAATCCTGATGCTGATTATAGTGGCAGTTATGAAGGTGTATCAAATTCAAACTCTTCTCATCAGTCTCAATCATCAGAAGCCTCCAGCCTAGAACCTGATTCCACTTTATCTGAAGGTCTGTTAACGCGTAAATGCTGTAGTGTTAAACATTCCACATCGGAATTGAAAATTCCAACTTGTAGTAGTGTTAGTAGTTGCATTAAAAATCAACCCTCCTCTTCTTCCACTTCTAAAATATCCATCATTCCTGAATTGTCCACTTCACCTCGATTATCATCGTCTAGTCATTCTACAAATACTTCTGTGCTTACATCTTTGCATACACTGGTAACTCCACTACGATCTACAATCACATCGGTTGTTGCTGGTCAAATTTCAACTTATGATTCTAATACAACTAATAGTAATATTGTTATTCCTAGTGTTTATATTAACAGTCCAACTACTACTCTAACGCCCTGTCATTCTATCGACTCGAATTCAATGCTTGCCTATCCTCCAACATCGCCTGTTTGTAGTTATAATTTCCCAAAGAAGCCAAATATAATGATTATGACAACTAGTAAATGCACTGGATCGCATTTACCAACACCGATTAGTCATACTACTGTTGAACAACAATCTAACAGTAGTATCAGTGGTGGTAGTAGTAGTAGTAATAGTCAGACAACATTTGTATCAAATATATGCGCACCACATCGTTCAATGATAAATATTCGGCCTAGTAGTTTATTGACTATACCACAGAAACCATCTTTACAAGTCCGCTTTACGCCTCCAACACGTATGAATCCGTGTAATATCAATAACAATAATAATAATAACAGTAACAATAACAACAGCAATAAAAGAAGCCTACTGAGTTCATCTGTCGGAAGTCCAATTTTAGATTATTCAAGTGTAAATCAGAATTCTTCCGTTATCAATAGTATTGTATCACCAAATCTATTGCGTAAACAATACTACTATTATAAATAATGATAATACTAGTACCAATATTACTGTCATTATTATTATTGATACAGGTTGTTTTCTGCTGATTTTTTGTTTTACGGTTGCTCAAAATTGTCTTTTTACTTTCCTTTAATTTTGTTTTTTTTTAAATCCTCCCACATCATTATTTCTGAAGGTGAGGGGGGAGGGTGAAGGGCGGCTAGGGAAAGTGTCTGGCTATTTATTCAGCTGGACGCCTTCGCTATTTGTGGCTTTCCGTTTATGTGTGTGTATGTACACTGAACTTGAAAAGAAAAGAGACAGCACATCTTTCTTTCATCGCCTTACTACTATTGCTACTTATTAAGTAGTAGTAAGGTAGGTGGACAATGGCAGAAAGGCTGGGGAGGGGGGTGCGGTGCGCGGGAACACTAACCTTCACGTAAATGAATATTTATAATTATTATACATATTCATTAAAGTATGCTTTTGTTCGAGGGATTTTCAACAAAACGGTTTTGTACACATTTTCAGTTTTTTCGTTTTGTATCGTTATTATTATTATTGTTATCGTTATTGTCAAAAATGGTCGCCAATTATGGGATCATTCGACTTTTCTCTTGTTTTCTTTTGTTATTTTTGTTTGTTGGTTCATTCACTCAATGTGTTCTGGTTCTGTGCTTTTCTTTCTAATTATTTGTGCAATTTGCAGAACTAAGCAACCAGGTAATTGTTGTATTTCGCGATTATTTTAACTTTGGCTTGAATTTCCTCTTGTGTGCGTGTGTGTATGTGTGTTGCATTTATCCTTATTTTATCAAGAAGTTGTGATCACCACGCATACATGCACACACACACACATATATATACATGTTTATGTCTTTGATATTGTTCTGTTCTTCTCTCTTTGTCTCTCTCTGCTTCCGTTTCTGTTTATTTTCGTTTGTTTTCCACTTAATTTAAACAACAGTTGATTATGAAGTCTGTATACTACTTTGCAATCATAAATACACCAGTGGTGTTTGTTATACAAGATTCATAATACTTGTTCTCATTTATTCTCTTCGATTATTGTTTCTTCCGACGATTTCAAAAATGGATTAGTGTAGGGGAGTTGGAGTGTAGTGTGTTGCTTGATGATTAGTTATGTCAGCTGACTGATCTATATATATATACGTGACCCTGGAGATCCTTCAAAAAAAAATAATCAATCAAAAATTGTTCGATCAGGTTGCTATATCGGCGCATGCATCCAATCATAACTTCACCGCTAACAAAGGTAGTTAGTCCGTCCTAGCACTTCCCCTTGTTTGATAGATATTCAGTCGGGGGACCACTGGAAGATACTTATAGATCTAAATACTCTTCGTCTAGGGTACCATTGGCCCCTCGAAGTAGTGTAGGATCATTGCTTGGGGCACAGTTAACTTTATTAGTAAAAGTAAGGAAATCATCACATTGTTCCTCGTTCAGAATCAAACATTTGTCGGCGGTATTGAATACTGATGCATTTTCCCTAAAAATCTTCCCCAGGAATTTGCATCGTTTGATCAATATCCCGAGATAGTATTCACCAACGCAAAGGTTTATGAATCGAATCATAACGACAGGATTCTTCAAAAGTTCTCTGAAATGAATCTAATATCACAACAGATTTCATCAACTAAGTGTTCCAAATATCTCCAGAAGCAATTTTAGGTACATGATACGTAGGGGAAACTGGGGAGGCTTATTCCTTCTCGTCTGAGATAGAAACTGAAGTGAAGTGAAAATCTCTGCACTAGAACTGATCATGTATCTCATGGTGCTGCACAAATAGTGTCTTGACTAGATTTTGATGCATTTTTGGAATTCTGACTTTCGATATAAGTTTTAACATCAATTTTTTCATGGATTCATTGAAACCCAATTGTGCAAATGATGCATCAATTGATAAACTGCTCTATACTTCTGTGGCTGACTAGATGATGTAATCAATAATCTCAGTTGCGGGAGGAGTGTGTGTGTGACTAGATGACTACAAAGATAATTTACTAGTATGCACTTCGATCAGTTTCACTTGGAAGTCTTCATACTGTTTCTGTCTCTGTTGTAGTAGTAGTAACTGAACTTCCTCAAAACTCCGTTGGAAATCAATATGACTTGAATTTATTCTTGAAAGAGGTTGTATGTGTGTGACTTGTTTGTCTACATTAGAATCTGTTAAAGTTCACTGGTAGAAAAACAAAAAACCTTCCAGGTCGCTACTGATTGATTGTTTGATTGAATTAAGATGGCAACTGATGCTTTGTGTAAGTCCTTTTCTTCAGGGTCTTTCAAGGCATCACCTGATTTTTCGTTAATCATGTCTGGAAAACATATTTGAATGCTTTCTTTTTTTATCACCTTGATTTAGTTCATGGTTTCCGCGTAATCATCAACTTTTGCTTTGTCATTAATCTTGTTCTTCAAACGAATCGCTAATGCGTTTTCATCTCGACATTTCTTCTTACATGTACACTAAAGTAGCAGCAGTGCACATCACTTTTGATATCAACGGAATTTTTACTTGGTCTTTTTAACGAAACTTAGTAGTGCATATAATCAAATTTACAAGTGACATAATTCAGAGGTGGAAATTCACCACAACAACCTTTAGTATTGAAATCTCACACATTGTCATTAATATAGTTTGCAGGGATTTGATTGGAAACAGGTTTGGTCACCAGTTGACATCAGTTAGAGAACCATTGGAAAGCCTGCAGGGAGTAGTGGACAGTTGTGAGAAGTCGTGAACAGTGGGGTCTGCCAAGTCAGGTAAGACATCAGTTACTCGTCAATGATACTGACTGGTGGTTGCGCGCTATGCATACCGCGAATCGGTAGAAGTTGGAATTGGATCGGGTCCTGGTGGCTGAATAGTGTACGAGCTTGCGGAAGGCCGTGGGTTTGAAACCCAGTGGTGAAAAGTCCCAGACTGGGACGAAACACCTCTCCAGTACTCCTAGGTTTTTCAATGTTTTTCTAACTGATTAACATATTCGTCCAAATGGCTAACTAGGAATTGCATGGTTCCTACTAATTCGACAGTGTTAGCATGAGTCTATCAGAGTACACAGGCCTAACTGGTGAAGTGGTAGTGCGGCCTTTAACTCGCTTCTATCTATTCATCAAGAGCCATTGGTGCTGTTGTGAATAGTCGTCTGCAACTACTCATATTAATCATAGGAAAAACTGAAAAGACGTCTTCAGTGAAGTAAATTTTTTTTTCGTCGAAGTCATCAAGTAGGCTGTACATTCGTGTATATGAAAAATAAAAAAGCCTACACTATGAACTCAAAACAAATATGTTCAACCGTTGTCTTTACCATGGCCATCATAAAAAGTCAGTTCTCTCAATAGTGATTAGCTGATTAAGTTTCTTACCCGTACTTATTGTCCATTTTGTTACTGCTACATTTTTATTCCCTAATTGCACAAAAACCCAATTTCCTCACTAATTATGATCTTATTGTGTTTTTTATCTGATCTCCCTCTTCATTTTTATATTACTGCATTTTAAATTCCTATTTGTAATCTTGTTATACTTTTCCCTTCGACCGGATATAGTTCCGGGGCTTTCTCACCCATCTACTATAAGTACACGAAAGTACAGTCGGCATGTATATATATATATATGTATATATATATATATATATATATATAATATTCCCAACACGAGATTATCCCTCAAAAAGTACAAAATAGTTAACTTCGGAAAACCACCTAAGTTACATACATTAATCGTCGGTTGGTTGGTTGGTTACTATCATACGCATTGGTTCTCATTTAATTCTTGTTTTCCAGAATAAGCAGAGATTCATGCTATTCTCCTTCTAGACTGGTACTGGAGGTCCCCTCAACGTGTCATTTGAGTGTATCAGCATTCTACTGTTAATTGTCTGGTAGTTAAATTAGGTAACTTTACTATCCTTCTATACACACTGGTGTTCTATAGAATTTAAACACATTGTCATTGGAAACATTTAGAGAGTGTATATAGATAGCTGAGGTACTACATATCGCGAGTTCGCAGTAGTTGGAATTCATTCATTATTTCTTTCTGCCTCGTTGGCTGAGTCAGTCTCTTTTTTCTCTCTGTTTATCTTCCTTTGTGTTCTACATGAGGTGGAGGTAACACGAACAAGTGCACTTCTCTTCAAAGTTCTGTGTTGAAGGTCCAAAGTTCACTCCTCGGGTGAGAAATCGTGATTGCGTGTACTACTGAAGAGTCTCAAAGTAGGACAAAATAGGTATCCAGCACTGTCTGCTTGTCTAACCAACGTCAGTTTGGGAACTCTCTTGTAAAATGCATATATATGTTTATACATAGTCATAGACAGTTAGGTGTTTTAAGGTAGTTTCAAAGATGAACAAGTGAAAATTAATTAGGTGTATTGCTCGTTTTTTTTCTCTCCTAGCTTCGCCCTTTTCTCTACTTTACGCCTATATATTTTTTGCCACTTGTTCATATTGCATTCAGACTTGCATTCAAATGTAAAGGTGAAGATATGCAACGATGACTAAATAGTGTAAAGTTAATAATAAACATTCCATGAATTCCATTAGTTTTCCTATATATATATATATTATATATATATATATATTGCCCACCCTCAGCGTGTAATTGAACACAACGAAATACCCGAGAATGATTTTTCATTGTCAAATGTTTGTTTTGTTTAGACACACGGAAAAGTATTCACGTCTGTATGTGAGTGTGTATGAGCGTGTACGCACGCACACCTATATGTGTACTTGTAAAGGAGAATAGTGTAATGCCTGACTAGTAGTGCAAATCTTATTGTGTATTGATCATGCCTTTATATTACAACATTTCACTTTTCATCTTCTTCCCCTAAATATCTGATTCATAGCCCCGTGTGTGTCTGTGTGTGTGTAACCTTTACACTTGAAGCAGACGCAGTGGCAAACATGCAGGTGAAGAAGTGTATTCATCATCTCCGCTTTTTTCCTTTTCTTTTCTTTCCTGTTTTGTTCGTTGGTTTTTTTTTGTATTTCATTGT